ACAGTTCCCGGGCTGCTGCCTCCCGCCTCCCAGCGAGGGCTCGAGCGCGGGCCAGGATGACGATACCCAGAATTTTCTTTGTTACCTAGGTTGTGTTTTTTTTAATGCTATACATTTGATATAACTGAAGATCAATTTTAAAAGCTTACAGTAATATATTTTAAGTAATATATATTTTAGTATCTAAAAAATAAAAAGACAAAGGATGATCTATGAACTAGATGAACAGGGTATGGGGAGGAGGCGGTTTGCAGCAAGGCCAAGAATAGTTTTACCAGGAGGAGAACTGAAAAGATTCAGTTTTTTCCATTGATGCAATAAAAATGGGAATTCTTAAAAAGAAGAAATCCGATATTGTTTACCACATGCTTTCCTTGTTTCGACAACAGGCCTGTAAACACAGTTTAGAAGATACTAAACCTTTGTCTGTCTTTTGCCTTTTTAAAAGGGACTTAAATTGGAATAGAGGGTATGTACAGAGAAATCAAGTTGACACCATTTTAAAATGTATTTTTACACAAATAATATAGAAAAATCATATTTTACATAAGAATTTTAAGTATTTGAAATATGTATATATATATACTGTATGTACTTCATATATTCTTTATTTTACATTTTCAATGTATTAAAAAGTATTTGAGCTGGTTGGATTTAAGCATGTAATAATGTTTAAAAAAAAAAAAAAAAGAAAAAAGAAAAGAAGCAAAAGAGGGAGAGAGGCTGCAAGTCCTGCACCACTGCGGGGGCTGCTGTTGGCTACCACGGGGGAGCGGGGGCCCGGGCGCTCGGGAGCCCGGCGATGTGGGACGAGTTTAACGCTCTCAGATCTTTTTCCGACCATTTTTGAGTCCTGTGTCCTGTCTGTGTCTCCGTTACGATATCCGTTGGTTTCGCCTCGGACGCGGCCCAGGCTGATCTCTGGTGAGAAGACCCGCCGTGGAGGTGGATGTTTTTTACGCGCAGGGCGGCCCTTCTAGCCAAAGAGACAAACTCCAGAACCTGCTCAGCCCGAACAACAGCGGCAGCGACGCCGTCCCACGCTGCCACTGCCAGTTTAAGGAGCTGGATTTCGTGTGTGAGCATCTCACGGCGCTCTGGGGGAATTCAAGCGATACACCAAAAGTCCAGGGATTTCAAAGAAACACTAGCAAAGCAGTTTGGGGGTTTTGGTTGGTTTTTTTTTTTAACTTTGTAGAAATTTTGGTGCAAAATCTCACTGTAGCGAGGATGATCCTTGCAGCTGTTAGAAACGGGGTGAGTTCTCCTCAGGAAGGGGGTCCCAGAGATGCTCCCCCCGAGCAGCAGCACCCCGATACCACCCCCCCACACTGCACAAGCGGGCCAGGCAGCAGCGGGGTGTAAACACGGAGGGAACACCTGCCCTTCCCTCCCGGCACTTCCCCACCACTTGTGAGCGTAGCAGCAACTCCTCATTTTCACACCAGCCCGTTGGCAGCAGATCTGCAGCCCCTGTCACTGCTGGCCCCAGTTCTCCCTCGGGAGAGCAGGGTGCCAGAGGCTCCACCACAGGCAGCATATGGCACGTGTCCCCTCCCCTTTGCCACGATGCCCATTTTGGCTTAGATGTGACATTTAGCCCACTCGCTCCAGCCAACAATTGCAGGCGTCCTGGATACAAACTGGAGATGTTCACAGCAGTTCTGTTACTGGGACTTACAGGGCAGGAACCGTGGGAAAAGGAGCATTAACAAGTCAAGCTTTAAAAACACCGAGCTGAACCGCAGAAGGGCAGGCAACTGGGTTTTTCCTACTGCTAAAATTATTATTGGAATCTTGAAAAAAAAAAACAAAAAACAAACTGTGGCACCTGATACTTGGTCCAGACTCGCTACCGACACACTGAGGGGGGCTTTCACCCATGAACAGTTGCACTATAGGAAAGCCCCACTCCTGCGGGGTGTAGATGGGCAGTCTGCCCGGGGGGCTGTGCAGGGCGGGGGGTGTATCCTGCGTACCCACAGCTACGTCCTGCCTAAGTGGGGGTGGTGAGACCAGCTTCATCCCAGTCTTGTGGTGATATTCCACCTCGAGAACTACCGCAGACCTGAGATGGAATCACAGCTTTCCTGTTTGTTTTCCTGTTTAAGATACGTGGGTTAGACACAATACGTAACAGCGATGTGGTTTGATCTGCTGCACTTTTTAAATAATAAACCACAACATTCCTTACGCCCCTGGTACTGCTGCATCTCCCAGTCCTTCCCCTCCCAGTGTAAGCCATAAGCCTAGTTGGTCTCCTGAGCCTTTCAGTTACGGCTTCTCAGATGCTGCTTCAGAGATTTCCCATTGGAAAAGCCGGGCTGAGAGTTTAAACCTTCCTGTTTAAACTCGGCCTCCCGGCCCAGCGCCGGCAACAGGAACCAACAGCAGGTCCTGGCGGGGCAGTTTGGCAGCGATGGGCCGGGGAGTGCAGCTGAGCCGCAGCTGAGCCGGGCCAGTCCCTGCCCTGAACCTCAGGGACTGGGGTTTGCTCCCAGTTTTTGATCTGGTGGCCAGAGCCATGCCCAGGGCGCGCCCCAACCAGCCGGCCCCGCTGGATTTACAGCGCCCGCCGCTGCCGTCAAGCTTCGGCGCTATCGGGAGCCCTGTCAGTCCATTTGCAAGGTCAGATTTATGTAAGAAACGTGGGTTTGCAGGAAAAAAAAATAAAGCAATTGTAGTTCAGGAAGGCATTTCAGAGCAGCACGGGCCAGTTCCAGCAGGTCAGGGATGAGCGTGGCCCCGCGTGCTGCAGCCGGGCGTGGGGCAAAGGGGGTTTTGTCAAGTTCTTCGCTCACTTTGCTGTACAAGATTCCACCTTGGCTTCTCACCAGCACTCAGAGGGGCCCGAGGAGCGCTAAGCCCAGCTCTAACCTGTCACGCCAAGGTCGGTGTGCCCGTAGGAGATGACAGCACTCCGACAAGCAAAAGCCTGCCCTGTGGCTTGTGTCTTACTGCGGATTCTGTTCCTCTTCCTCTCACTTATTTCTGTCATGTAAAACTACCTGCTTTATAAATGAATGTAAAATACAGTAGTTCTTCAGCACATGGACAAATGTGTATTTTAATGTTTCATTTTATGTTAAATAAAAAGCATATGATTTTATGGTTGTTGGTCCTGCTCATGTTGATTTGTCAAGGATCACCTTCTGTCAAACCCCCATAAATGACATTTTTCTGGCCCGAGAGGCTTTGGGCATCTGTAAAATTTTTTCGACACGTTTCAAGGGGAAAACTTTGGTTTAATACTGAGCCTTAATATAATAAACACTCTGCAGTTGTCTCAAGCCTCATTTCTTGGGGTCCCACAACACTTTGGGACACTGAACTGTAGATTGGGGTAAAAAAAGAAATGGGAGGAACCTGTATCAGGTGGTGGCAGCTCAATTTCCCTTAAATGGAGGGATTCAGGGCAGTAGATCTGTAACCAACCCTCTATTTCTGTCAGGTTGAGTGCACTTAGTAAAATAAGCAGGACTGAGGCGCCTGGGAATGTGTAGGAAGCCTGGGATTTCTTTTCCCTGAATACACTAAAGCATCACCAATCTCCGTCTGAAGTATGGGAAGGCACCGCAAAGGGGCTAAGAACCTGCCAGTGTGAACAATCACATCCAGAGTGTAAAGAGAGACCATGAAACGGAGAAGGAAAGCTCTGTAAAGAAATCTGTGTGCTGCAGAGCACGGAGCGAATACAAGAATTCCACCTGAGTTTGCAACCGTTAGCAAAAAAGCCCCCCAAATTCTACCACCTCTCAAAGATCACGAAGAAGAGTGGTTAAAGGTAGTGTTCAGGCCCCAAAAATGCCCCAAAGAAAAGTAATCTCCTCTGTGCTCACTGAGGTTGTGATACGTCCCGCTGCCCCCGGATGACCCGGGTTTGAAG